TCATGATCCTGGAGTCCCAGGGTCGAGTCCTGCATTGGGCTCCCTGCTCAGCAGGGCGTCTGCTTCTCCCTCTGAACCTTTCATGTGCTCTCTCTCTCTCTCAAATAAATAAAATCTTAAAAAAAAAAAATGTGTTTTTAGTCCCCCTGTATTTTGGGATTTTCCAATTACGTTTCTGTTACTGATTTCTGGTTTAATTCTGTTGTGGTCTGTGAGCAGAAATTGATTTCTATTCTTTTAAACTTGTTTTTTGGGTTTTTTGTTTTGTTTTTTAAAGATGTTATTTATTTGAGAGAGCACACAAGCAGCGGGAGGGGCAGAGAGAGAGAGGGAGAGAATCGCAGGCAGACTCCCTGCTGAGAATGGAGTGCAACACGGGGCTCAGTCTCACGACCCTAATATCATGACCTGAGCCAAAATCAAGAGTCAGACGCTTAACCGACTGTGCCACCCAGGTGCCCCACTCCAGGTCCATTTTCAAATAAACTTTAACACTTCAGTAGGATAGTGCGAAGTCCCTTATAATAACAAAATCCGGCCATCCCTTGTATCATTGCTGTCATTTATTCCAGTTAAATATTAGAATACATAAGCCTATCCATATATTCATAACATATACATTAAGCATATAGAACTGAATATAATGTTACTATTATTTGCTTGTGCAATTACTGAGAAGTCAGTGCAATTCTTATCTTTGTTTCTCTGTTAAGTATGGTGTTCTTTTTTTGAGTTCGTTCAGAATTTTTTTTTTCTTTATTTTTGATTTTTCTGTAATTTGAAAGTGATCTGCCTAGGTGTAGTTGTTTTGGGCATATATCCTGCTTGGAGCTCTCTGAGCTTTGTGGATCTGTGGCTTGGTGTCTGACGTTCATTTGGGGGAAATTCTCCGTCATTATTGTTTCCAGTATTTCCCTCTGTTCCTTTTGTTCTTTTTCTGGTAATCCCATTACACATGTTACACCTTTTGTAGTTGCCTCACAGACCTTGGATATTCTGTTGTTTTTTAAGAAAATCTTCGTTGGGGCACCTGGGTGGCTCAGTCTTGGTTAAGCGTCTGCCCTTGGCTCAGGCCTGGGACCGAGCCCCACATCGGGCTCCCTGCTCGGCGGGAAGCCTGCTTCTCCCTCTCCCTCTGCCTTCCGTGCCCCGTTTGTGCTCGCTCTCGCTCTTGCTCTCTCTCTGTGTCAAATAAATGGATAAAATCTAAAACAAAAGCAAAAACTTTGTTTTCCAGTTTTTGAGGATTCTGTCAATATGTTCTCTAGTTCAGATCTTTCCTCAGCCGTGTCCAGTCTACTAATAAGCCTATCAAAGGCATTCTTCATTTCCTTTACACCGTTTTTTAATCTCTGGCATTTCTTTTTGATTCTTTGTTAGGATTTCCGTCTCTCTTTTTACATTGCTCATCTGTTCTTGCATGCTGTCTACCTTTTCCATTAGGGCCCTTAGCATGTTAATCATAGCTATTTTAAATTCCCAGTCTGATAATTCTGACATCCTTGCCATGGCCCTGTCTCTTCAATCTGTGTTTTTTGCCTTTTGTTATGCCTTGTGACTTTTTCTTGATAGTCATACATGATGTCCTGGGTAAAAAGGAACTGCTGTACGTAGGCTTTTACTAATGTGATGGTGAGGTGTAGGGGGAAGGAAAGTGTTCTGCAGTCCTGTGATTAGGTCTCAGTCTTTTGGGAAGCCTAGGTCTCTGGTTTGTGGGCTTCACAAGTGTTCCCCAGTTTCTTTCTCCTTCCTGAGGTGGGACAGGATGACTCTAAGGCACTGGTTGGGTATTTCCCTGCCCCCAGCTCAGTTAGGTGGAGCTTAACTCCAGCAGATAAAGCTCTGGATGATGAAGTGGTTTCCCCTGAGGGCAGGCTCCTCTGATTTTATCTCTTTTGTCTGATTTTCCTTTTGTTTTGTCTTACTGCTCTAATTTTAGGGAAATTTCCTTGATGTTTTCTTTTATTGAGTTTATCATTTGTGTTCTCATATTTTTAATTTCTAGAAGCTTCCCCTCTCCCTAAGTATTGTTTTTATTTCAGTATGCAATATTTTATCTCTGAGGACATTAATTATTATTTATTTATTTATTTATTTATTTATTTATTTTACTTTTCCACGGAAAGTATTTTCTTTTTTATCTCTCCCAGGTTGTTTTGGAGTCTTCAGTTTCAGATTAGATTCCTTCCTTGGATGTTTGGTAATGTATACTCATAATTAAGAATAGAAAATTAGAATGTTGCTTGAAAGCTTTGTATGGGGTGGGTCTTAATGGACAGTGGTGATGTATTATGTATTATGCTTCCTTTTTGGAGGGCTGCTCACATCTCCTGGAGAATACTCCCTCATACCATGTGGGGGAAACTTGTATTGGCTTAAGGATTCTGTCTTCTAGGGTCTCCTAGGTCAAATAATACTTCGATCAACTTTGTAACTTCTAAATTTTTGTGGTTGACTTTTCTATTCATTTTGCCCTTGTGAATTTAGGTTCTTCTCTTTTCTCTCCTTTCATAATATGGTATCATATCAAAATAACAAGATAATTAACCTAAAACCATTTAAAATCTTTTTATGGGGGGTGCCTGGCTCAGTCAGTAGAGCATGTTAGTCTTGATCTTCATGGTCAAAGTTCAAGCCCCATGTTGGTCATGGAGCCCACTTTAAAAAAAGTCTTTTTCCAGTCTCGTCCATGTTGATGTAAAAGTTGGGTATTCATCCTTTCTGGTGGCTAATATTCCATTGTATATATGGACCACATCTTCTTATCCATTCGTCTGTTGAAGGGCATCTCGGCTCTTTGCACAGTTTGGCTATTGTGGACATTGCTGAACATTGGGGTGCATATGGCCCTTCTTTTCACTACATCTGTGTCTTTGGGGTAAATACCCAGTAGTGCAATTGCTGGGTCATAGGGTAGCTCTATTTTTAATTTTTTGAGGAATCTCCACACTGTTTTCCAAAGTGGCTGTACCAACTTGCATTCCCACCAACAGTGTAAGAGGGTTCCCCTTTCTCCACAACCTCTCCAACATTTGTTGTTTCTTGCCTTGTCAATTTTTGCCATTCTAACCGGAGGAGATTATGCTAAGTGAAACAAGTCAAGCAGAAAGTCAATTATCATATGGTTTCCCTTATTTGTGGAACGTAAGGAATAGCATGGAGGACATTAGGAGAAGGAAGGGAAAAATGAAGGGGGGGAAATCGGAAGGAGAGATGAACCATGAGAGACTATGGACTCTGAGAAACAAACTGAGGGTTTTATAGGGGAGGAAGGTGGGGGGATGGGCTAGCCCGGTGATGGGTATTAAGGAGGGCACGTACTGCATGGAGCACTGGGGGTTGTACGAAAACAATGAATCATGGATCACTGCATCCAAAACTGGTGATGTATTGTATGGTGACTAACATAACATAATAAAATAAAATTAAAAAAATAAAATTAAAAAAGTCTTTTTGTGGGTCTTTTTGTCCTTAGGGTAATCCTATTAGGGATGTCCAATCAAATTACAGAGCTTTAAAGTCACTTGAAAAAATTCCCTTCTAGCGATAACAGACAAGTTGATACATGGTCATGTATGACAAAAGATGCTAAATGTTTTGCTTCATTTTACTTTTGATTTCTAGGGATTGCTTTTTCCTTTTGATTTTATTATTTTGTTTCTACATTATGTATGGCTCCAAACTCAAAGCTACAAAATGAAGTACACTTAGTGAAATGTAGCTTCTTCTATCCCTGCCCCATCTACCTTGTTCCCTCCATTACCATATCAGGAGCTCTTCTCTTTAAAATAGGTAGCTTCCTCCCTCACTTCTCTTTATTCTCTTACCCTGATTTATTTTCCTTTATATACATTTTTAAATTATTATTTTTTTTTATTTTGAGAGAGAGAGAGAGAGTGTGGAGCCTGATGCAAAGTTCGATCCCATGACCCCAAGATCATGACCTGAGCTGAAATCAAGGGTCGGATGCTTAACTGACTGAGCCACCCAGGGGCCTCTGTTTTCCTTTATATTTCTTATCATGCCTGACACTATTACCTTCTTTCATTACTAGAATGGAAGCTTCATGAGAGCAGGGACTTGAGATGTGCTAAAATAAATGCATTTCTCAATTCTTATTTAGGGCCATTCAGAGGGATATTTGTGTCTGTTTCCTTTTTTTCCCCTTTTTGAGTATGGGTTAGCAGCATAACCTACACTTTTCTTTTTGAAAACTTATTTGGTCAACACTGCTATTTCATATCTATACATTGATTATGCCTTTACAGCCATTTAAAGTCACACAGGCAATGTGATAGAGTGGACATACCAGTGACAAGAATGAGCATTGCATTCTGAGCTCAGCTCTGTTCCCATATGTAGATGATACCGGAGCAGGTGAAGGCGGCCTGTGGTATGTGCTACAGTGTCTGAGGGGCCGCAGCTTCCACGACGATGTCTTGTTCAACAGCCCGGGCAAGACAGGGAGTGTTACACAGGATGGGGGTGCTCCAACAGTGGGGTGAACTAGACTCTGTTTACAGTCAGTTGTGCTGGAATGTGTTCCTAAAAGTTACCACTCTCTGAAAAAATTGCTCAATAAAAACCACAGAGTTTATGGGCAAATTGGAATCAGGGACCTAACACTCAAAAACGCTGGTAAGTGACGTATTAAAAAGAACATGATAAAAACGTTAGCACAGTTTTTACCGTGCCTGTTAAATGGTGAAGGATACATAACACTGAAATAAATATGACACTTTACCTTGGAAAGACCTGATGTTTGTTTATAGAAGTGGGCACTGAAGGGTTACAGCCTGTGAATTCAGCTGGGCGCAAGTGTGTTCAGTGTTTTTGCTCATGGTTTTTACCCGCTTTTACTCGTGGAGGAAACTGCATCATAAGCAAGTGGTGAATTTGTGTGGTGCTCAGGTTTTTCCGAATAATCATGTTGGGACAATTTACGTTTTTTAAGCAGGTGGTAGAGCAGAACTGATGGTGTTTTTCTCTTTCTCCTTTAGATGATATGCCGATGGGGCCTTCTGGCAGACATGCTTCAAACGAGTTCTTGGTGTGTGGAGGGTATGTTTGTATTTATTAAATTAGAATGTTTTTCATATTTTGGTTTTTCTGAGTAAACTTTAGAGAACTTTGACCGCGGTTTTTTTTTTGCCCTGTTTCTTATGGTTTTATTTTATTTTTTAAATTTTTTATTGTTATGTTAATCACAGTACATTACATCATTCATTTTTGATCTAGTGTTCCATGATTCATTGTTTGACCATGTTTTTGATTCTGAATTTTATTTTGTTTCACAATTTGTCATTTCTATTTTTTTAAAAAAGTTTAAATTGTAGTAAAACACGTAAAATCTGTTGTCTTCACCATTTTTAAGTTTACAGTTCAGTAGCATTAAGTATATTCACAATGTTGGGCAACCAATCTCCAGAATTTTTTCATCTTGCAAAACTAAAACTCAGTACTCCTTATGTAATAGCACTCCCCATTTCTCCCACCTCTAGGTGCTGGTAACCACTGTTCTACTTTCTCTTTCTATGAATTTGACTACTTTAGATACCTCATATAAGTAGAATATAGAATATATGTCTTTTTGTGACTGGCTTAGTTCAGTCATCATAATGTCCTCAAGGTTCATCCATGTTGTAGCATTTGTCAGAATTTCTTTTAAGGCTGAACCTTATTCCATTCTATATATATAGATATAGATATAGATATAGATATAGATATAGATATAGATACACATAGATATACATATATATGTGTGTGTGTGTGTGTGTGTATATATATATATATATAGTGTTTTGTTTATCCATTCATCTGTCGATGGTCAATTGGATTTCTTCTACCTCTTAGCTATTGTGAATAATTCTGCTATAAATGTGAATGTGCAGATATCTGTTTGAGATCCTGCTTTCAATTCTTTTGGATATATATACACACAACAGTGGGGTTGCTGGATCATATGATCTATTTTTAATTTTTTGAGGAGTTGTGATACTGTTTTCCATAGTGGTTGCACCATTTTACATTCCTACCAATAGTGTACAAGGGTTCCAGTTTCTCTACATCTTCAGTGACTGCTTGTTTTTTATAATAACCATCTTAATGAGTATGAGGTGATATCTCATTGTGGTTTTGATTTGCAGTTCTCTAATGATTAGTGGTTTTGAGTGTCTTTTCATATACTTATTGGACATTTGTCTATCATGTTGAGTAGTAGGAGTTCTTTATATATTTTGGATATTAGCCCTTTATCAGATATATGATTTACAGATATTTTCTCCCAGTCCAAACATTGTCTTTCCACTCTTTTTGTTGTGTCCTTTGAGCATAGAAGTTTTAGAATTTGATGTAGTCTTATTTGTCTATTTTTTTGTTCTGTTGTCTGTGTTTTTGGTGTCATTCAAGAAATCATTGTCTAATCCACTGTCATGAAGCTTTTCTCCTATGTTTTCTTCTAGGAGTTATATAATTTTGGGTCTTACATTTAGCTCTTTAATCCATTTTGAGTTAATTTTTGTGCATTGTATAAGGTAAGGGTCCAGCTGTATTCTTTGCAGATGGATATCTAGTTTTCTCATTTGCTGAAGAGACCGTCTTTTTGCCATCGAGTGCTGTTGGCATCCTTGTTGAAGATCATTTGTCCATATATGCAAGGGTGTGTTCTGGACTGTCTGTTCCATTCTGTATTACTGTAGATTTGAAATTAGGAAGTATGAAACCTCCAATTTTGTTTTTCTTTTCCAAAATTGTTTTGACCATTCAGGGTCCCTGCAGTTTACATATGAATTTCAGGAAAGATTTTTCTGTTTCTGCAAAAAATGCCTTTGCAATTTTGGTAGGGATGGCATTGATCTGTAAAGATCACTTTGGACGGTATTGACATCTTAACAGTATTAAATCTTATAGTCAATGAAGACGGGATGTCTTATAGTTTTTTTCAGCACTGTTTTGTAGTTTCCAATATACAAGTCTTTCACCTCCTTGGTTAGATTTATTTCTGTGTATTTTATTCTTTTTGATACTATTGTAAATGGCATTGTTAATTTCCTTTTTGCATTGTTCATTGTTAGTGTATAGAAATGCTACTCATATCTGTGTGTTGATTTCATTTCCTGCAACTTTGCTGAATGTGTTAGTTCTAATGGCTTTTTGCGTGTGAAATCTTTTGGGTATTCTACATTTAAGATCATATTATCCATGGACAGAAATAATTTTACTTATTCCATTCTGATTCAAATGCCTTTTATTTCTTTCTCTTGCCTAATTGCTCTGGCTAGGAATTCTATGTAGAAGTGGTGAGAGCAGGCATCCTTGTCTTGTTCCTGATATAGAGGAAAGGCTTTCAGTTTTTAACCATTGAGTATGATGTTAGTTACGGGGCTTTTATATATGGTGTTTTTTATGTTGAGGTAATTTTTTTCGATTCCTAGTTTGTTGAATGCTTTTTATCATTAAAGGGTGTTGGGATTTTGTCAAATGCTTTTTCTGCATGAATTGACATGGTCATGTGGTTTTTGTCTTTCATTCCACTAATGTAGGTATATTATAAATCACATTTGGTCATGGTATATGATCCTTTGAATGTGTTGTTGAATTTGGCTTGCTAGTGTTTTGTTAAGGATTTTTACATCCAATTTCATCAGGGAAATTGTTCCGGTCTTTTTTTTTTTTTTTTTTAAAGATTTTATTTATTTATTTGAGAGAGAGAGAATGAGAGACAGAGAGCATGAGAGGGAAGAGGGTCAGAGGGAGAAGCAGACTCCCTGCTGAGCAGGGAGCCCGATGTGGGACTCGATCCTGGGACTCCAGGATCATGACCTGAGCCGAAGGCAGTCGCTTAACCAACTGAGCCACCCAGGCGCCCCTGTTCCGGTCTTTTTGTTGTTGTTGTTTTTGTAGTATCTGTGTGTGGCTTTGGTATTAGGGTAATGCTGAACTCATGGAAGGAGTTTAGGAGTGTTTCCTCCTCTTTAATATTTTGGAAGAGTTTGAGAAATGTTGATGTTAATTCTTTACATGTTTGGTAGAATTTACCAGTGAAACATGTGGTCTTGGGCTTTTTTTGTTACTTGGAAGTTTTGATTACCAATCCAATCTCCTTGCTGGTTATGGGTCTGTTCAGATTTTCTCTTCCTTTTTATCATCCAACCTTAGTAGGCTATGTGTTTGTAGAAATTTATCCATTTCTTCTAGGTTATCCAATTTGTTGGCAAGCACTTGTTCATAGTATTCTCTTATAATCCTTTTTATTTATGTGGCTTTAGTTGTCATGTTCCTTCTTTCATTTCTGATTTTGAGTCTTCTCTTTTTCTTAGTTAACCTAGCTGTATGTCAGTTTTGTTGATTTTTAAAAATGCCAACTCTTAGTTTGATTTTTCTATTTTCTCAATTTTGTTTATCTCTGCTCTAATCTTTTTTTATTTATTTTTTATTTATTTTTTTTTAAAGATTTTATTTATCAGAGAGAGAGAGAGAGACAGATGCAGGCAGAGGGAGAAGCAGGCTCCTTGCTAAGCAAGGAGCCTGATGTGGGACTCAATCCCAGGACCCTGGGATCATGACCTGAGCTGAAGGCAGACGTTTAACCGACTGAGCCACCCAGGCGTCCCTCTGCTCTAATCTTCATTAGTTCCTATTTTTTGTTAAGAAATGAGTTTAGTTTGCACTTTTTCTTTTTTTTTTTAAGATTTATTTATTTGAGAGAGTGCATGAGTGAATGTGAGTGGGGGAAGGGGCAGAGGGAGAGAATCTTCGAGCTGACTTCCTGCTGAGAATGGAGCCCAACATGGGGCTTGATCTCACAACCCATGGGATCACAACTTGAGCCAAAAGCAAGAGTTGGATACCCAACTGACTGAGCCACCCAGGTGCCCCTAGTTTGTACTTTTTCTAATTTGAGGGGTAAAGTTAAGTTTTTTATTTGAGATTTTTTTTTTTAATGTTAGCATTTACAGCCATAAACATCTGTCTTAATGCTACTTTCACTGTATTCCATAAGTTTTGGTATGTTGTGTTTACATTTTCATTTTTCTCAAGATATTTTCTGATTTTGTGATTTCTTTTCTGACCTATTGTTTGTGTAAGAGTGTGTTGTTTAGTTTCTGTGTATTTGTGGATTTTCTAATTTTCCTTCTTCTGTTGACTTCTGCTTTCTGTCCATTATGATTGGAAAAGATGCTTTGTATGATTTCAATCTTTTAAAATTTTAAGATTTGTTTTGTGGCCTAATATGTGGTCCGTCCTGGAGAATTTTCATGTGCACTTGAGAAGAATTTATCTTCTTCTGTTGGTGGTGGGAAGAGTGTTCTATATATGTCTACTAGATCCATTTGGTCTAAGATGTTGTTCAAGCCCTGTTTCTTTATTGCTCATTCCTCTGGCTTTTCTGTCCATTATTGAAAGTGGAGTATTGAATTGTTCAGCTGTTATTGTGGAATTGTCTATTTCTCCCTTCAATTCTGTCAATATTTGCTTCATATATTTGGGAACACTGATGTTTGGTGCATAAATATTTATAATTGTTATATTTTCCTGGTTAATTGACCCTTTAATAATGTGCCGTTTTGTCTCTTGTAACAGTGTTTGACTGAAAGTCTCTTTTGTCTGATATTAATATTGCCGCTCCTGCTCTCTTTTGGTTACCATTTGCATGGAATATCTTTCTTTTTTTTTTAAGATTTATTTATTTATTTGAGAGAGAGAAAGAGCATGCATGTGGAGGGGAGGGGGAGAGGGAGAGAGAATCTTAAGCAGGCTCCCCACTGAGTGCAGAGCCTGACATGGGGCTCAATCTCACATGAGATCCACGATCCTGAGATCACGACCTGAGCTGAAACCAAGAGTTGGACACTCAAATGACTGCACCACCCAGGCATCCTGGAGATATCTTTTTCAATCCATTTACTTTCAGCCTAATTGGGGAAGATTTATCAATGCCATTTTGTTACTTTTATGTATGTCTTGTGCCTTTTTTTGCCCCCTTATTTTCTCTCTTAATACCTTTCTTCATGTTCTGTTGATCTTGTTTTAGTGACATGCTTTGATTCTCATTTCCTATTGTGTATATTCTATAGATATATTCTTTGTGGTTACTTTTGGGACTACATAAAATAACTTTAAGGTACAACAATCCATTTTAAACTGATAACTTCAGTTGCATACAAAAACCCTGCTATAGAGAGTATACCCCCCCTTATGTTATTGATGCCACAAATTGCCTGTTTATGTGTTCCTAATAATAACATAGATTTATAGCTTTTTTTGGGACTTTTGTCTCAGACTCTATACAAGAATTGGGACATGCTAATCTTAAAAGAGAGGGGGAAAACAGTGATAGCAGGACTACATAATGGCTCTGAAAGTTTCTGTTCTATCATCAGTCTGTTTCCCTCTGCTTTGAGAACAGCATGTCCCAAATGGGAGCTGCGCTTTCAGCCTCTTTCCCAGGGGTTGTGGTAGGAGTACACACACCAGAGGGCATAGAAGGGGGTTCAGAGAGAGAGGTGGTGAGTATTTTGAAAAAAAAAAAAAATATACACTCTTCCACAAGATATTAAGTGCATGTGGAAATAAATTATTACAAAGACATTAAAATTATGCCCTATGCAAAATTAAAATGGTTTGATGCAAGTATTTTTTCGGAGCTTTTTCTTTTTGGAGCCATTAAAATTTTGTATCTCCATGTCCCAATAACTGTCATCTCATAGGCCAGGTTGTAATGTTAGTGATACTATATCTCATTCTTTCCTTAGAACCTTACTTTTATTGATATTATTTTGAAGTATTTAACTGTATTTCTTTCCAGGAAAATGTCTGACCCCTAGACAAAAATTACTCATCTCGATAAAATAAAAGCGTATTGTATTTTGGGCAGACTGCTTAGTCTTTCTAGTATTCCATGCGGGTCAAAGATGACTTCCCACACGTGCTGGGGATGCGGTGCACACATAGACCTTCCCTCTCCTCACTTTGGGCTTAGGGAGTCAGGTAATGGTTGAATAGTGTTACTAATACAAAGCTAGATGGAAAAGTGGCTGTAGTGGTCCTAGCTAGCTGGAGCTCTGGGAATTTCTCCAGGGAAGACTTTACAGATGGAGCAAGTCTGCCTGAAGGTTCTGTCCAGAGACTGAGGCCACATCTACAGGACACCTACCAAGACTGTTTCATCTCCTCATATGCTGGCAGAGGATTGCCTGATATCCCCTGAGAGGGGCTTTGATTCCAATCTAATTTCCCTTGTGGTGATTAACGAGTACAGGAAGAATATTAGAACTTGACAATGTATATGTTAAAAAAAGAACTCCTAGATGTACTTGCTTCACCAACAACATACTTCCTCATTGAACTGAGACAGTAGAAAGATGCTATTCCTTCATTCACATTCTGATCCTTGATGGCCATGCTGGTTGTTCCTTAGGGGAACTTGGGCCTTTCCGTGCTCTGAGTTTGCACGCACCATAGTTGGTTAGTGAAGTCCTGTAAAGCTGTTTAGTTTCCAGTAGTAGAAGTTTTTTGTTTTGTTTTGTTTAATTTTGAGGTTATAGATCCAACTGCACAATCAAGTGTGTAGATATTAAAAACACAAATCATTGTATTTAAAAGATCCTTAATGTTACACTTGACACTAATATAACATTGTGTCAACTATACTTCAATATAGAAGGATGGATGGATAAATAAATACATGATATTTAATGGGAATTACCTAAATGAAAAATAGAGCTTATAGACTAAAAGCTAGAAACAACAGTCCTGACTGTTGTGTGCTTAACACTAAAGGTTTAGTTTTCTTGCAAGATGAGAAGTCAAAATAAATAGTTGTTGCCTTCGTTTCTGTGGCTCAAGGGATAGGGTTAGGGTAGGAGGAAAGAGGAAGAATGGCTAGAAGACTTCTACTTACATCTTACTGAGATAAGATATATGGCCACTCATGGCTGCAAAGGACTCTGGGATGTATCATAATTTCACTGAGCAAATGACCACCTTCCATAAAATTTGAGTTCTGCTAGTAAGAAAGAATGGGCAAATGGATATTGGGGAAAGCAACTAACATCTCTATTATGGATGAGATTTTCTTTTTATTTAAATATGAAATACTGTAATGGTTCAAAAAGCTCTAAAGTGACACTTTAGAAGATAATCATACTGTTCGTTAGATAACTAGAGCTACGATCTCTTTATATCTGTAATGTTGTAATTTGAGAAAAACTGTTAGACTCATGGGGCTTTTTTAGTATTACAGAAGGGCAGAAGAATGAGGTCTAGTGTTGTCCCTGATGTTTTGATAGGTTGTAAATTGAATTGAAAGGACATATTATTTCCGAATTTATGAAAAGCAAAGAAAGAGGCTATTACAGAAAGCCAGTACTAACACTTCAGCATGTGGACCTCCGATCGGTCATGTGCTTTGAGAGTTGTACAGTGTTATTTTCAATCTTTTTAAAAGTCAGAGTTCTTTGGGAATGCTTACTGCATTCATGACTTTTGTAAACATTCCAGTCATCTTTGCTCTTGAACTTCCTGTTCTTTTACCCAGCATATTTTCCTAGAAATATTTTTTTCCCCCTCACATAATAGTGAATAGCAGAATGTGAGCAGATGAAACTGAGTTTTGCCAACCTACGGACTTCTCCTGTTGTTGTAGAGGAAGGTTTTTCCAGTTCTTACTATGATTCTCAGTCCTCAGTATGCCTATAAATGCCTGGACAGTTCTTTAAATGACTAGTGTGATTTTTTTTTTTTTTTGCCTTATTTTTGAGATGATCATTTTTTAATCACATGGAAGTGATCATTTGGCCTCTTCTAGAATTTTCTCTCAATGTCACCAAGGTGTAAAATGAAGGAAAAATGGTCTTACTTGGATTTCTTTCCTTTTTCAATACATTATGTTTGCAGGCAGTGCCAGCCCCCTGTGTCACCTCATAGTGAGACAGCACCAATTCCAGTTCCTACTCAGATAAGGAATTATCAGCGCATAGAGCAGAATCTTACATCCACTGCCGGCTCTGGCACAAATCTACATGGTTCTCCAAGGTAAGCAAGTATTTTTTTTCCTTTCTTTTCTTTTAAAAATTTTGTCGTTACTGAAAGATCTGCTACTTTCCGTGGTTGACATAATCATGTGTGTAGCATGGAGGTGTACAAAACCGAATCATAAAAAACTTTTGTAATGAATCTATTTAAATGATACTTCAGCTTAGCTGGATAATACAATATGATATGTATATATAATAATTCTTAAGAATTAAGGAAGAACTTGTTAAAGGATGAAATCTCACCAGTTGTAGCAGATCATTTACATACTATTTATTTCCTCCACATCCTGAAACCCCACTAAGGTAGCAAGAACGAAAAGGTCTAAGTACCAAAGACGAGTCAAATAAAAAGACATGCTCAGTGGATGAGAGGTTTCAGCACGTTTCTGGAAAACAGAAAGAAGATGGAAGAGGGGTGCCCGCTGGAGCAGGGTGGGCATCAGAGTGCCCCACGTCCCCAAGACCTGAGTCCCACAGAGCTCAGGGAGGGCAGGGGTGCAGGTGAGCCATAAGGCTGAAAACAGAAAAGTGCAATCTGGACAAAATAGCAAGAATGCAAAGAAAAGAGAACTTATGTAAAAAAATGTGTACCCTTAGAAATAGGTCAGAAACTGCATCCATAAATTAGAACAAAATGCCATTGAAAACAGTCAAGATCAAAAAGACCTCTTGGACATTACAAAATATAACTGAAATAAAAATAAATGTTGGAAGACAAAGTTGAGGCTGTATCTGAAATAGATGAATCAAATAAAGAAGATGGAGACTATGAATAAAAAATATTCTTCAAGTATTAGTGAATGTAGGCATTCCAGAAAGAACAAGTTGGAAAAGAACATTTCCAGGAAATAATCAAGAAAAAGTTTTCTAGAATTGGAGAATACAAGATTTTAGATTAAAAGGGCCCAGCAAATGCACAGTTCAATGAATGGAAAAAGTTTTGCACCATCTCATAGGATGAGATGAAAACTCACAAGAGTTTTCTACAAAGGACGTTTTGGCAATATCTGTGAAAATCATTAATGCATATATCTTTTGAACACACCACTTTAACTTTTGGTAACTTACTCTTTAGATACACAGTCCTTGCCTGTGTATGAAGTTACATATATACAGGTTGTTTAATTTTAGAATATAGAGGATGAGAAATAAGCCACGTACCCACCAGTAAGTGACTAACGTCCGTCTATGACACTGAAGCACCTTCCCTAAAGAAAAAGGAAGTTCTCTATGTACTGAGGTAGAAAAGTTTCCAAGGTATATTACAAAATGGAAAAAGCAAAGTGATAGCAGAACTAGCAGTGGTTTCAAAGCGTGGTTTGTGTATGGCTCCCTTTCGAAAGGTCCGGGAGGTCAAGACTGCTTTCATAATGATACTGGGACACTGTTTTGTTTCACCATGTTGACATATGCACTGATGGTGCAGAAGCAATGATGTGCAAACTGCTGGTGGCTTCAAATGCATCAAGGTAGTGGCACCCAACTGCATAGTGATTTTTCACATCTTTTACCACCATACATTAGTGGTACCAAGGAATGTCTTTAATGAAGCAGTAAAAATTATTATTTCTCTTTGAAAATCGCAACCTTGAGTGGCTTCTGAGCATAAAGTACTTCTGGTGCACATTGGAGTAGTTCTCTTAAGGAGAAGCAGTTGTATGATTGTTTTAGTTGCAAGTTGCACTCGCCCCATTTTTCACGGTATACCGTTTTTTCACGAAAGAACAGCTGACGAGCTATCGGTTGTGGGCATCGGGCAGCCATTTTGTTGAAAATGAACTAAGTCTGCCATTCCTGGAAAACAAGTGACATAAAATTTGAGCTCTTGAGCAAAAGTTAGAATTTTTGAAAACAAATTCACCCATGTGATCTTGACAGCTTCTGTTATGCCTTGACGGCCATTTCTGTTAAGATTTATGATGATAATTTGGTATGGATGTGACTTTTTGATACTGTATGATGGGGTCAACATTTGGAATATCTGCATAACTCATTCAACCAACATTTTTCAAAATACCAGATGTTTAAAAATCCTGCATGGATAAAAGATCCAGTCCAAGTACAAGATACCTCGCAAAAGATTAGAGCCTAATGTAAAACAAAATTTCATTGGCCTTGGTTTCAGATTCCACATTGCAGCTGTTCTTTTAGAAATGTTCAATGGCGGCTGAGTTTTGGTGTAGTATCAAAGACGAGTATCACAAATATCTGAAAAGGCTACCAAAATATTCCTCCTTTTTCTGGCTACGTATCTGTGTAAGGCTGGATATTCTTCATGTGCGTCCCCCCATATATTGTGCTACATGGAAGATTGAATGCAGAAACAGTTATGAGAATCCAACTATTCAGCCAGACATTAGAGATTTTTAAAAATGTAAAACAATGTCATGCTTCTCATGAATTTATTTTATTTGGAAGATATAATTAATTTTCATAATTTACATTGGATGTAATAAGTTTATTACTTTTAATGAATTATCACCAAATTTTTCCAGTTTTAGCTTATACAGTAAATATCAAAACTCTGGGATAGGGTTGCCTGGGCGGCTCAGTCAGTTAAGTGACTGACTCTTGATTTCAGCTCAGGTGTTGAACTCAGGGTCGTGAGATCGAGCCCTGTGTTGGGCTCCGTGCTGGGCCTGGAACCTGCTTAAGATTCTCTCTCTCTTTCTGCCCCTCCTCTACTCCCACCCCTCTCTCTCCCTCTCTTAAAAAAAAAAAAAAAAAAAAAAACTCTGGGATATTCAGTAATTTTAAGAATGTAAAGGGAACCTAAAACCAAAAAGAAAAAAAGAAAATGGTATGGTATATATTACCTTTGTTAAAACAAGATGAAAATAAGATTATATTTTCAGTTTGTTTGCTTGTATATGAATTAAAGAATTCTGGAAAGATAGATTAGACACTAAAAATAGTGGTAACCTTTGGAGTAGGACTGAGGGAGTGTCGAGAATTAGGCAGACAGAATACAAGGATGGAAGGGAATCTTCATGCCATATAATTTTATACATTTTATATTTTTGTCCCATGTGACTCTATTACGTATTTTTAGAACTTCTACTCCATGGCGCGTTGTTGACGTTTTAGAAAAAAGGAAATAAAGAGCGTCTCAGAACCTGCCAGAGAGGGAGTAGTTTTATTTTTCTTTTCAGATCTGCAGTGGTGCGAAGGTCTAACACCAGCCCTCTGGGCTTCCTCCGGCTGGGATCCTGCTCCCCAGCGCCCGCAGACACAGTGCACACAGTTGGACGAAGACTCTCCACTGGATCTTCCAGGCCTTACTCACCTTCCCCTTTGGGTAAGGAGAGGAAAGCTGTTGTTTCCAACTTCGTTTTCACTGTGACACGTCTGGCATGACGCTCTGTTTTAGGAGCGTCGGCTCATGATGGCAGTGAGTCTCCGCTGATGGGGGGCCACACCCTCCCCCTCCCACTCTCTACCTTACCCCCGGCCCCCACACGAGCATCTCTAGGTACATTTGTTGGGACCTCTATTGGAAATACAATAATATAACGGGATCTTATGGATTAAAAGTATCTCCATTGGGTTTGGGCTCCAAACGCGCAAAATCCGAAGCCCTAGATAATAGTCCGTGAAACACCTGCCCTACTTACCACTGCGCTTTATGAGGGTTAAGAGACAGTCGTGCACACAGCAGGGCTGACTGCAGTCCACAGGGCCTTCCAGCTCCGGGAGGAAGGGTCTTTCCCCCTCTCCTGGGAAGCCTGCACGGCACAGGGGAGAATGCTCACACAAACAGCACCAACAAAATCCCAGCCAAACAGAAAGACGAACCTTAAACCACAGTTTTAGTGGACCTGAGAGACAAAGAAAATGCTCAACTTCAGGATACGTGCAAGAGAGGCCAAAGCAGCTGCTACTGCGGAACCTGAGGGAGACAGCACTGGTCGGGGACGGGGGTGTGCAGAGAGGGCCCGAGGTGGCAGGTCTGAAACCTGCCCCCACCCCCCCGTATAAATACATATATTTTTTACTTCTGAAAGGCCCTGTGGACTGCAGCCAGCCCTGCTGTGTGCACAACTGTCTCTTAACCCTCATAAAGCTCAGTGGTAAGTAGGGTAGGTGTTTCACGGACTATTATCTAGGGCTTCAGATTTTGCGCGTTTGGAGCCCAAACCCAGTGGAGATACTTTTTATCCATAAGATCCCTTTTATACACTTTCTACTTGTAAAGGGCTCTACCCTCAGGCAGAACTGCCGAGTAAGAGTAAGGGGATGTGAAGAAATTTCAGGAGGAGGCAGAGTGAGAAGGATTGAAGTATGCCCAGGAGCCCTGATTCAAAAAAAAAAAAACACAACCATAATAACGTTTTTAAAAATGTATATCACCACACCTGTTGCAGTGGTTTTGAAGCTGCTTTTTAGCTGAAAAATCTTCCCGGAACAAAATCCTGGCCCTCCCTCACCCCCTCAGCAGCTCCTGGGGCACGTCAGGGTCTTCAGAGACAAGGTCCAAGCCTTCTCCTTGCACTCAAGGAAGAGGCCCCTCCTCGGAATCTAACGTTCACCTGCCTACCTAACCACCTGATCAGTGTCTCCTGTCTACTTCAACCCCTGAGCTCTCGCAGCTCTTCCTCTGGTTGGTTTGGGTTCTCAGAGGTAGATGCAGAGAGGGGAGCTGCAGAGTCGTCCCAGAATGACTGGGGAGGCACCTGTGATGGATACAGGGTGGGGGGGGGAGGAGGAGTCTGAGGGAGCCCCTTCAGACCTCCTTGTAGCTCTGACCCCCATCACGGAGAGAGGGAGGTAGGAGGAGTGGGCAGGGGAGCCTTGACTAGAGGGAATTAATTCTAAGAACGCTTTAGCCAGGCCCAAGGAGTGTCCCCAAACACTAGATTGTCCAGATTCCCTGACCTGCTTGACCCAGCCTGAATTAGTGCCACACCCACATGCAGTCGTTGGCTGGGAGCCTTGGGGAGCATGCCTTGGCAGGAGCGTCAGGCACGTAGTGGATACACAGGGACAGCAGCTGGGCCCCCTGCAGCTCCACAGGCCTCAAACATGACGAGCTTCTGTACTTCTCTGTCTTCAGTGATGTACCTGTTACAGGCATCAGTTTGTTTGCGTGGCTTTCTTTCCTGCTGCTCTTGTGTCAGGGCAGATTCTGTGGTTCTTTTTGATTGTAGCGTGCCCAGCACCTGGCACGTTGGTCGCTCAGTAAACACCAGCTGAAATAAATCTTTGCTCGTCCAGCTTCATAAACTGTAACGTACTGTGCAGTTCGTGCATGTCTTATCTGCTTCCATCCTTCACTGGTTTTGGGTCACCTCTCATTCCTTCCCTGTTTCCTTGTTCATAGTTGGGACCATTCCTGAGCAGTTTAGTCAGTGCTGCTGTGGGCATCCTCAGGGTCACGAGTCCAGGAGTAGAAACTCATCAGGTAGGAGACCTGTTTGGTATATTAATAATTTTAATCCTGTTATAAGTGGATTTGAGTTATGTTTTTCTAGTCTTATCAAAGGAATAGAACTGATATGAAGTATTCTATCTGTTGTCCTACTTTCTAGAATCTTGGTCTAGAATGTTTTAGCATATCATATAGTCAATCAGATATCTCCTTTGGGGTATCTGATTCTTTTACGAAAGTAAGTCTTGGGAATTAACTGCGCCAAATTTTGGTCATTGTCACATAGATAATGAAAATCAATCTAGAAAATGAAGTTTCATTCCTTTGATTAATACTATTCTTGATAAGAGCTGCCAGTTAGCATGAGATAAACAAGAATTATAGTTTATTTGCTTTAATATAAAATATACATATGCCTGAAAAGATACGTGCAAATCACACTTTCATTGGTCAAATTTTATTGTATGTGCATCTGAGGAGTTGGCTAATTAAAGGAATCCTGTGTCACTGAGAAAAGCACTTTTCTTAGTTTTTCATATTTTGTGTTTGCCTAAAAATAAATCTTAGATAACTTTCTCCAGATTTATAACATTTTGCTACTAATTTTATTTATTTGTGTGTGCATATTTATACATATGTACACGTGTACACACACACACACACACGGCAGAACCCAGTTCTGAAAGATTAAAGACCAGATTTAGGATGAGATTAAGCTAGGAGTGGTCAGTAGCAAAAACTCTCATTTCCTTTTGGGGAAGATTATGGTTATAGGTCCGTACCGTTATTGGTGGTAGCTTAACTTGCAAGAAGCTCTGAAGAATTTGTAACTGGAGCTCCAGGCTTGCTTAGTAGACCTGAAGTTGGCAACAACACGGTTTGTGTGGGGCAGTCCTCTTGCTGTTTGCAGCTCTTCACCATAACAAGACCCTGTTTCTCGGGCTCTTAATATGGTGCTCCCTTAAGAGGCAAGAGTACCTGAGGACAAGTGTTTTCTTTGAAGAGAATATGGGCACTTTAGGTTATAAATGAATTTCATTCATGAAACTGATAAAAATAAGTAAATTACCTATATATGCTTGTGATTTTTAGACAAGTAAAATAAAATCCCAGAAAAGCATCTTATCTAATTAGATAAAGGGTTATTCTGGATTGGTTTGAAAATTTCTTTTAGCTGGTATGTGAGAAAAGACAGTAATACGTTGATATCCCCAAGTACGTATTCACATAAAAAGTAGAAATCATTTTGTTCAACATGGGTGTTGGTAGTTTTTACTGACTTTGGCCATTCATGATATAGTTCTCTTGTGCTAATTAGACCAGACAGTAATCTGAGTTACCTGCTAGCTGCTGCTGAGAGCAGCTAACATACCCATCACCATTACCTTCTATCCCCCCAAATTGTCTCTTGCCAAATACACAGTTTTTAAAATATCTCCTGAAGAACATGACATTCATAGACTTCCCATTTTAAGAACTGTCCTCTGAATTCCCTCAGTGTTTGCCCGTGCTCTGGGTTAACCTGCATGCATGTCCGTGGCAGGTTCCCCAGTGCCACAGGGTCCGTCACCACAGTCTCTCCTGTTGGGTGCTAGACTGCAGAGCGCCCCTACCCTCACCGACATCTACCAGAACAAGCAGAAACTCCGAAAGCAGCACTCGGACCCCGTGTGCCCGTCCCACGCTGGGGCTGGGTACAGCTACTCACCTCAGCCCAGTCGGCCTGGCAGCCTCGGAACCTCTCCCACCAAGCACATGGGGTCCTCTCCTCGCGGTTCAGACTGGTTCTTTAAAACTCCTTTACCGACCATCATTGGCTCTCCTACCAAGGTGCGTTCATTAAACTCTTTTGTCAGTGTTGCGACTTTGTTGAATTAACGTTTGTTACATGGGGCACAGGGTGCTGCGTGGTGAGCTCAGGTCCAACAGCAGCCCACAAGAGAAATTGCAGTAGGGAAGTCCATTACTCACATGTCTTGGCAGAAGTATGCCTCGAGAGGCTGCACGGGGACGTCCAGGCAGGTGCCAACACAGACAGGACCTGGGGCACATGCCTTTATTAGGGTCCGGGGATGGAGGACCTGGGGGTTCCTGAGCTAAAGCAGGATTGGTCAATTCTAACCAAAAGAATGGGATTCTGGTAAGCTCCACAGGAGTCTTATGTGTTCCACACCCAAGGGGAAAGCCTGGGGGACGGGGAGACTTTAGACCACCAGGGTTGTTGGCGGAGTCCTCTCCAGAATTAAATGTACTTGTGACCGCAGGCTGCTCTCAGGGGCGTGCGCTTACATGAGGCGCTAGTGTCCGTTTAAGGCCCTGCAGCCACGTGACCACACAAAGATGATGCGGAATCAGCAATGCTGTGGAGTAGCTTAGCTGAGCTCCCCACAGTAGGCCATGAGCTAGTAAGTAGTCCCCTTGTCCCCAGGGGATATTGCTCCAAGACCCTCAGCGGATGGCTGAAACCACAGATAGTATGATAAAGTTTAATTTAGAAGTTAGGCACACTGAGAGAGTAATGGCAATAATTAATAATAGAAGAGTTTTAACAGTAGGCCATAATAAAAGTTATGTGAATGTGGTCTCTCTCTCTCCCAAAATACACCCAGAATATATATAATATATAACAATCATGGGGGGAGGTCTTTTTTTTTTTTTAAGATTACATTTATTTAGAGCGAGCGAGCACGAGCAGTGGGGGGAGGGGCAGAGGGAGCTGGAGAAGCAGGGGGTGGAAGGTGGGAACATGCCTGGGAGGTGAGATGAAGTGAGGGAGTGAGGTAGGCACGTGACGGCTGGTAGGCTACCACTGACCTACTGACCAGACATCAGAAGGAGGATCACCTGCTTCCAGACCAGGACTGGCCACAGAAAGCAGAACCGTGGATGGGGGCTACTGTACCTTATGGAAGATCCCTGATGAGAATAGTTACAATTTAATGAGGACTTGCTATGAGCCAGGCACAGTCTCAGTACTTTATGCTGAATGCTTTTTATACATTAGCCCACTTACTCCCGAAGAAAGGAAATTGAGGCTAGAGAGTAGGAGTGAACTGTCCAAGGTCCCAGAGCCGTCTGTGGAAGTCAGTCTGTGAAGCCAGGTCTGACCGACGTTCCTGACAATTCCGAATGCTGCATGCAGCATAGTAACCAGCTTGCATATGTTTCCTTAGACCACAGCTCCTTTCAAAATACCTAAAACGCAAGCGTCTTCCAACCTGCTAGCCTTGGTTACTCGTCACGGGCCTTCTGAAGGGCAGTCTAAGGATGGGAATGACCCACGGGAATGCTCTCATTGTCTCTTGGTTCAAGGAAGTGAGAGGCAGAAGTCTGAGCCACAGAACAAAGCAGTGTTTGGCAGGTAAAAGACACCATTTCCTTCCAGCCTTCAATGTGAAAACTGTAATAGTACATATATTTCTGTTATGAAGACAAACCAGACCAAATTAGTTTAGTGGCTGGTTTATACCACATGGTCCATAATATGAACTGTATACATTTAGAAATCTATGAAAACCACAGGTGCTTCCTTTAACTGTGAATACAGAGCTGTCACTGAATTTCCTGAATGTTCTGTGTCTGCTTTTTGTTTGTCTTGGTTATTGAAGTTCATCTCTGCCTTGAATTGTCTGGTATCTATTTTTTGTCTCCTTATTCTCTGACTTCCCATCAACCCTTTTGTGGCTCAGCTTAAATCCCCCTTATTATTTAAATATTTGGAATTTTTAAGTATACTTTTCCATTATGAACATCATTCTTTCTAGATCTGTCAGTACTGGGAAATTATCAGATCAACAAGTGAAGATATCTTTAGGTGGACATCAGGGCAGCACAGACAGTTTAAATACAGAACGACCGATGGATACAGGTAAGAAAAATGTGGTTTCTTTCTAGGTAGGTAGTTCGTTAGTATGTGCGCTGGTTGGCTGTTATTGCTGCCACAGATTATCACAAGTGTGGTGTCTTAAAACAATACAAACGTATTATTGTACAGTTTCGGAGGTCAGAGGCCTGCAGTGGGTGTCACTGGGCTAAAATCAGTATGCTGACAAGGCTGCATTCGTTCTGGAGGCTCTTGGGGAGAATGCATCTCCTTGCCTTTTCCGGCATCTAGAGACTGCCCTCATTCCTTGGCTTGGGGTCCCCTTCCATCTTGAAAGCCAACGATGGCCAGTCTAGACTCCGACCTTCTGCCTTTCTTCCTACATTTCATGGACCCTTGTGATTACATTGGACCCCCTGGATAATCCAGGATTATCTCTTTATATTTAAGGCAGTTCCACCTGCAATTTTAATTACCCTTTGCCATGTAATGTAGCCTATTTACAGGTCCAGGCGTTAGGACATGGACATCTTTGGCTGGGTTGGAGGGCAGGAGAAAGTATTTTACCTATCTGCTTCTGTTGACTATTCATGCACTTACTGAGATTTCTGCACCCACTCCCTGCCGCTTCATCTTTTTTCTCAGCACATCAAGACAGGTGCTTGTGGGGTGTCTTGATGATCACCAGTTATGAGAATTTCATAATTCCTAAGAATTTCATAATTCAAAGATCACCAGTTAGGAAGAATTCTGACCCAAGATTGGTTTTTATTGGTAGGATAATACTGGCCAAAGTTAGCTTAAACAAACATGTACTCTCGAGCATTTCTTATACAGTGAGTAGATTCTACAAAAAAAGCCCATAGATCACTGACATCCCCTAGCCTTTTCATAGTTGTTTAGAGACTGTTACCTGTCCATAGACCCACATCTAGATTATTTGGATTGCTTGTCAAAACATAAAATGAAGGGCAGGTTGCAGACTATAACCCAGACTTGTTTAACCAAATTTCCTGGGAATGGATTCTAGGAATCTGTAGTTTTAACAAACTCCCAGGTGCCTGGGTGGCTCAGTCAGTTAGGCGTCTGCCTTCGGCTCAGGTCATGCTCCCAGAGTCCTGGGATCGAGCCCCATGTTGGGCTCCCCGCTCAGCGGGGAGCCTGCTTCTCCCTCTGACTCCCCCCGCCCCCGCTCTTGCTCTCTCTCTCTCTCTCTCTCAAATAATAAAATCTTTAAAAGAAAAACCTCTCCCCATGATTATTATATACACCTAAATTTGAGAATCACTATTGTAATCTCTTTGTTCTCATTTTCTCTGTAATTTTTTTATTGATTCTCCCATTAGCATCCCAAGAAGGAAATATCTGGACCATCAAATATCTGATTGAATGTGGTTTCTAATCCAAAGAGAATACTCCACTCTTTTCTTACTTGCATGGTTTCTGAAGAGAAGTCCAATGTAATTCTTACTCTTATTCTTCTATAGGTGAGGTGTTTTTTCTTTGGCTTCTTTCAAGATTTTTTCTTTGTCTTTGATTCTCTGTAGTTTGAATATGATATGTTTAGGTGTGATTTTTTTGGTATTCATCCTGCTTGGTGTTCTCTGAGCTTCCTGGATTTGTGGTTTGGTTCTGTCAATAATTTTGGAAAATTCTCAGTCATTACTACTACAAATATTTCTTCTTTTCTCTCTCCCCCTCTGATATTCCCATTTCGTATATGTTATACTTCTATAGTTGTCCTGTGGTTCTTGAATATTCCGTCTTTGTTTTCATTCATCTTTGTATTTGCTTTCCAGTTTTGGAAGTTCATATTGACACATCTTCAAGCTAACTGATTCTCTCCTCAGCCATGTCCATCTACTGGTGAACTCATCAAATGCACTATTCATTTCTGTTTCAGTGATTTTGATTTATAACTTTTCGTTTGATTCTTTTGTAGAGTTTCCATCTCTGTGCTTATGTTACCCATCTATTCTTACACGTTGTTTACTTTTCCCTAATGAGCCCTTAGTATATTAATCATATTTATTTTAAATTTCTAGCCTGATAATTCCAATCTGTGCTGTAGGTGAGTCTGGTTCTGATGACTGCTCTGTCTCATCAAACTATTTTTACCTTTTAGTATATCTTTTAATTTTTTTTTGAAAGTCTGACATCATATATTGGATAAAAGGAACTGAGTTAAATAGTATAAGGTTTTTTTGTTTTCCTGGCTAGGAGTTCGGCTGTGCTTAGTGTTTACTGTAGCTGTAGGTGTCAAGCTAAACTTTTCTCTGTTGTTTTTGAGTTTCCCTAGATACTCCTTCTTAAGTAACGTATGACCCTTGCCCAACTACATTCTTTCCTTAGGGTTTTATATCTTAGCTCTTACGTTTAGATCTGTGATCCATTTTGACTGACTTCTTGTGGATGATGTGATGTAGGGGTCCAACTTCATTCTTTTGTGTGTGGATATTCAGTGATCCCAGCACCATCTACTGAAAAGATTATTCTTTCTTCTATTGAATTGTTTTGTCAGCCTTGTAAAAAAAAAATCTATTGACTATAAATGTGTTTATTTCTGGACCCCTAATTCTGTTTCATCAATCTATACGTCTGTTATGCTGGTACCATACTGCTATGATTACTGTACTTTATAGTAACCAAGGAAATGTGAGTCCTCCACCTGTGTTCTTCTTTTTCAAGATTGTTTTTGGTTATTCTGGGTCCTTGAGTTTCCATTATGAATATTAGTGTCACCTGCTAAAATGAAATCCCTGGATTGCCAAGTTGCTTTAACATACGAAAATCAATTAATGTAATAATAACACTCAATATGCTAGGAATAGAAGTGAATTTACTCACCTGATAAAGAACATCTATGAAAAATGCACAACTAACATGGTGAAATGATTAAAGTTGAATGTTTTCCCCCTAAGATCACAAAGAAGACACGGGTATCTGCTCTCACCACTTCTATTCTACATTGTATCAGAGGCTCTAGCCAGGGCAACTGGGCAAAAAACAAAAACAAAACACTCAGCTTGGAAAGGAGGAAGTAAAACTGCCTCTATTCACAGATGGCATGATCTTGTATGTAGAAAATCCTAGTGTAATCCACTAAAAAACTATTTGAACAAATAAATTCAGCAGTGTCGCACGGTACAAGATCAGTACCCAAAAATTCACTGTATTTCTTATACCCTGGCAAGAAACAATCTGAAAATGACATTAAGAAAACAATTCCATGTAAGATACCATTTATACCAATAATAAAATACTTAGGAATAAATTTATACTTGTAAACTATAAAACTTTGATTCTGAAAACTGTGAAACACTGATGAAATAAATTAAAGAAGACATAACTAAATGGAAAGAAACCCCATGTTTATGATCAGATGACTTAATATTGTTAAGATGGCCGTACTTTCCAAATTGATCTGTAGATTGAATGAAACCCCTGGAAGTGACACATCATTTTTCTCCTGCTGCTCCCAAGGTTGCCTCCTAGTCTTTGCTTTTCCTGTTTTACTGTGATGTTTCTGGGTGTGGCTCTCTCTGAGTTTATCTTCCTGTGAGTTTGTTGAGTCTCTTGGATATACAGATTAATGTTTTTCATCAAACTTGAGAAATTTTCAGCCATTATTTATTTGGATATTTTTTTCTGCCTGTCCTCTCCTCCTGGTACCCCCATCATGCATAGAATACACATTATGCATAGGTACACTTAGTGGTGTCTCCTAGTTCTTTGAGGCTCTCTTCTCTTTCCTCTCTCTGTGCTTCACATTGCACACTGTCGATTTATTTCGAGTTCATGGATTCTTTCTTCTGCCAATTCACATCTGCTGTTGAACCCCTGGAGTGAATTTTTAATTTCAGTTATTGTTCTTTTTAACTCCCAAATTTGCAGTTGGTTCTTTTTTATAATTTCTCTCTCTATTGATATTCTCTATTTGATGAGACATTGTTATCATACTTTACTTTAAATTTTTTTTTCTTATTTGAGTATAGTTGACATACAATGTTAGTTTTCGATATGCAGCACAGTGATTCAGCATCTCTGTACGTGACGCTGTGCTCACCACAAGTGTAGCTGCCATATGCCCCCATACAACACTGTGATAGTATCATTGACTCTATTCCCTATGCTGTACCTTTTGTTCCCATGACTTACTTATTTCATAACTGTAAGCCTGTATCTTCCACTCCCCTTCACCCATTTTGCCTTCCCCCCCACCCCTCCCCTCTGGCAACCATCAGTTTATTCTCTGTATTTTTAGGTTTGATTCTGCTTTTTGTTTATTAATTTGTTTTGTTTTTCAGATTCCACATATGAGTGAAATCATATGGTATTTGTCTTTTTCAGTCTGACTTATTTCACTTGGGCATAATACCCTCTGGGTCCATCCACGTTGTCACAAATGGCAAGATCCCATCCCTTTTTACGGCTGCGTAATACTCCACTGTAGAAGTAAACCACCTACACACCACATCTTTATCTGTTGGTGGACACTTAGGTTGCTTCCATATCTTTGCTTTTGTAAATAATGCTGCATTGAACATACGGGTGCATATACCCAGGTGCCCCTAAGTGGTTGTTTATAAAAAAAAATAATTTTCACCAGGGTGCCTCGGTGGTGCAGTCAGCTAAGTGTCTGACTCTTGGTTTCTGCTCAGTTGTGCTCTCAGGGTCGTGAGATCGAGCCACATGTTGGGCTCCACGCTCAGCACCAAGTCTTCTTAAGACTCTCTCTCCCTCAGTCCCTACTCCCCTCTCTCTTTCTTAAATGAACAAATAAGTCTTTAAAAAAATTAATTTTCACCAGTTACGGTTGTTTCCCTGAGAAGCAGGTCTGTGATGCTCCTCACACTTCACACTGCCGTCCTGGAAGTCGTCGTCTATGTGCTGTTGGCCGGAAGTCAGTCACTACAAGGTGGAACGGTTTTTGAAATTAGCTTGTTTGAAAGACCACTTTATGCCTCATCCCCCTTCACAGATCAGTTTAAATTTATAGGGTTTGTAAGTTCTGCATGAATATGTGTTGTAATTTAAGTCCAAGTTTGTGTGTATGAAACCAGATTTTTCTCCTTAAACAGCATTTAGGCATAAAATGTACCTTTGATCATTTTTATCCTTTTTCTCTTCCCTTTTCCACATGAACTTTATTATCATCATTTGAAATCACAAATTTCTCTTTTTAATCATAAAGTTTCCGTTTCTGAAAATAAAAACTGCTGATGGTAGGAAAAACTTAAGACCATAAGAAAAATAGGGTCATTGGCTCTTAAAATATATCCATGACCATCTTTAAATACATGCGTACTTACTGAAATAAAATCGTAACATAAAGAGAATATCTGTGTCATTTTGCACATCTCATGTAATAATAGATACTATTTAGTTTCCACCTACTGTTCCTTGCTCCCGAGAAGATTTTTATGAACTCTGTTAATTAGATGCTTCAAGTTTGTTATGCTCTGTTGTGGATAGGATGGACATTGATGGCAGGCTTTTTCTTTTTTTTTTTTTTTTTTAAAGATTTATTTATTTGCAAGAGCGAGAATGAGAGAGAGAGAGAGAGAGCACATGAGAGGGGGGAGGGTCAGAGGGAGAAGCAGACTCCCCGCTGAGCAGGGAGCCCAACGTGGGACTCGATCCCGGGACTCCAGGATCATGACCTGAGCCGAAGGCAGTCGCTTAACCAACTGAGCCACCCAGGTGCCCCGATGGCAGGTTTTTTCCTATATCTGGTTTTAACTTTGTGATTTGTGTTGTTAATGGACACAGATCCATTCTGTGTCGTCAGAAATGTAATGTTTTTGAGATGCTTGAGTGTGAAAAAGCTTTGGACAACTTTTATTGATTCTGCGTAGTTTGGTGGAGAGAGGCTTTCCACCTTGCCTTCCTTTAGCCCACGTTCAGCCCATCAGGCCCCCTGACACTGGGTCCCACGCGCATTTCTTCCTGACAGATGTACGGCTGCAATTGCATTGACTCAGCTTTCTCTGTCTCTTAAAGCTCTTACACCATGGAGACTCCTGATCTCCCTTTGGCTTTCCCTCATATTTTTATTCTAAGCTCTTGGTTTCCCCTTCTTCGAATGATCCTTACCACTGTGACTACAGCTTGTGTCCTTTAGAAGTATACAGAAGTGACTCTGAATAGGAGGCTTTGGTGTGAGGAAGATTCACAGCTGAGAAGAGATTACCATAAGATACTCTTAATGGCGATCTGTGTTGAATTTCTGATGTCAAGAGTAATAAATACTTAATATAAAAAAGCCCCAGAAACCCTGCTATAAAAGTGAAGGTCTCCCTATAATCCCACCCCCAAATATAAACACAGTGGAAGCAATGTAACGTTTTGTCAACTTTCCCTGCAGCCCCTGCAGGAGCTTGTGGTGGTGGACTGGCACCTGCTCTGGGAACAGCAGCAAGTTCCAGGGCTGTCCTGTTCACTGTAGGATCTCCTCCACACAGTGCCGCGGCCCCCACTGCTGCCCATATGGTCCTCCGAACAAGAACAACCTCAGGTGAAGAATTGTCTTGCTATCGTTTTGGCTCGTGTTTGGAGTGCAGTGTTCTGTCAATGACTTGATGATGTGACTCAGACGAGTCCCTCAACCTCTCTGGACTTCAGTTTCTTTACCAATGACATTGAGATCATCATTTTCTTGACCTTAAAGGGTTATAGGGTGTAAATGGGACCTTTGGGGGGGCTTTATAAAGTAAAAGTACTGTATGTTTATAATACTATATTATAACAATATAACATAAATGTGACTTTTCCATGATGAAGGAGCTATGCATCTATGGTGCTTCTTATATTAAAGGCCTATTTTAGTACCTCTGGTAAATTTTTTGAAATGGTAGATGGTTGCTTTGTTCTTTTAGTGACCTAAGTTTCACCTTTTTTCGTACTTTGGGTCCTAATCTTTGCACTTAATCCTACCTGCATTTAGATAGGCCAGTAGATTGGTTTTATCATCCATACTCTATAAATAGGTTATTAATACCCCAAATTAAGAAAGTATTTAGATTGGACTTGAAATGAGTTATCATTTGGCATTGTCATCCATACTGTACCTTGTGTCCTTTAAATTCTCTTATGCTACGTAAGTTACCAATCAAGGTGTCAGGATATTTATAAGCAAAGGATTATAAATAGATAACGAGAGAGGAAGTAGGAGCCAATAATCTTGTTCTTCAGATTATTAAAAATATTAGATAATAAAATGTCGTTTTCAGAAAGTACTATTTCATACCTGTTAACTAAGCTGACACTAAAAGTAGTGCCCAGTGTTGCTGAGGTTTGGTGGGACCACCTGCTGTTGAAGGTAGCGTGGCAGTTCGTACAAGAGCGGTAAAAATGTTTGTAACATTTGATCTGTGGTAATCCCATTCCTGTTTACAATACCACTTCAGAGTACTTATCACAAATGAATCATTCAAAAGAAGGAAAAACTTTGGATTTCATTATAGTGTTATCTGTGATATAAAAAATCAGAAATAGTATAAATCCTCCGGGCAATCATCACATGTATAAATTTAGGGAACTGCTACGCGTCCACTGCGTTTAATGATGAGGTGGACTATGGGGCAACAGGGAAAAATGTATATGCTATAACCTTGTTTAAAAACTAGCCATGATGATGTCTATGAAATAGGCGTATAAGGTAGGAATAAAGGTGAACTTGGAAAAATAAGACCTATTCATACGCTGCGGTAGGGGGTCCGTGACTGCTCCTGGGCTGGCGGGAGGGGCCGGTGCCGCCACCCCGCCCACGCCCTCACTGTCCCCTCTCCTTGCAGCGGGCTCCAGCAGCTCCGCGGGCTCCCTGTGCTCGGCCGGCGGCCGTGTGGCTATGGGCTCCCCGCCGGGGCCGGGTTGGGGGGCTTCCCCTCCCGGAGCCGAGGCCGCGCCCAGCCTGAGATACATGTCTTACGGTGCTTCACCCCCCAGCCTGGAGGGGCTCATCACCTTTGAGGCCCCTGAACTGCCAGAGGAGACACTGATGGAGGTGAGAAGAGCCCTGGAGGGTGTTGTAGCCACGGGGGGGGGGGGGGAGAGCTAAATGCTCTCGAAAGTTCCGACGGGTTTTTTCTTTTCTTTAGCTTGTCTTTTCTATTTGAAAACCTTTGCTGACACGTTTTCAGAGTAATGTGGACAGTGACACTCATCCAACAAGCTTTGGTTGATAGGAAGTGACAGAGATTTTTCCTCTGAAGTTTAGTTACTATTGATAGGACTTGGAAAGCATAACCTTGGTCCTAAAACCAGAACTTTTTATTTTCAGTGCTTGCTTTTCTTTATAACATAAAAATGATTACACTTGGGTTTAAAAAGTAATAAAGCATAATGCCAGATGCGTCACTGACACAGAAATAACCCTGCCAGGCAGATGCTCGCACTCATAGACCAGCTCCCGTCCTCTGTGGAGCCAGTTCTGCAGGGAAACCCACATCAGAATCATGCCGAACACAGTCTCAGAACAGGAGAAGTTCACTCGATGACTTAAAGACTGTGCCAGTTTGGTTCCTCGGTCTTGCCTCCAGGAAGCATGCAGTGGCCTACGTGGCGTCCTCACCCCTGATTACAGTGCTGACTTAGCCTCCATTTCCAGTTAAAATGATCAGTTCTCCAGACCAAGAGAACAGATGCTCTCTCCATGCTGAACCTCTAGCATTTCTGTTTTGTGTGAATGAGAAGTAGGTATTTCACAGAAAAGGTATAAAATGGTGCCTGCAAAATGTATCAGTGATTTTATAGTAGATTTAGTAGTAATCTTGTAACATGTGTGTAACCTAATGCTAAATTTGAAAAAGCAGTTGTCAGAGTTTTTTCAGTCTCCATCAAATTAGACACACATTGTTTTCCAATACATTTTCCAGTGTATTAGAATATATAGTCCAATACGCTGTCAGAGAGGAGAGAGACCTTCACAAGCTAATTGGTTTATTCTCCTTTCTCTAGGAAAATGATTCTCATCCTTTTTTTAATCATAAAAGGAGAATGAGAAGCTTAGTCTTAATTGAGATTTCAAGAAACATTTATAGCTAAAAACACATCTCAAAACAACATTAATTTTAGACTACCTATTTTTAATGCACGCTATTATGTCAGCCTATACTCCCCTCATTAACTAACTGAGCAGCTCACAGAAATTTAGAGCTTTGGTATTAGGAATCACTGTGAACTGAAAACCCAGCAGAAATTAAAATAAAGCATCCCTGAAACTATAAGACAGTAGAATTTGCAAAACTATCAAGAAGTATGGTTTAATGTGCAGCATATCCTTACAATCCCGATATTTATTTTGTCATGTATATTGATTTAATTGTTTGGTTTTGTTGTTTTTTCTAGTAAAAGCACAGTGACCTCATATCTTTGAAACTTAATTTTGTGGCCGCTCTCATCCATGCACACAAACACATGCACACACCCACATTTTGTTTCCCCTGTGTTTATTTTCTTACTAGTTTTCTAGAATTTAAAAATCTTAGTCTGTTCTGCTCATTCTGATATTCCTAAGTATAGAAACACTGTAGCATCGGCCATGGTTTATATACAGAAACAAGTATGCGCCTCTTCTTAGCTGCAAGTTTCTAAGACAAATTGGCTTTGCCGCAGCGAGAACACACAGACACCTTACGCCACCTCAACATGATGCTGATGTTCACGGAGTGCGTGCTGGACCTGACAGCCGTGAGGGGGGGTCACCCGGAGCTGTGCGCATCCGCTGTCTCCTTGTACCAGATCCAGGAGAGTGTGGTCGTGGACCAGATCAGCCAGCTGAGCAAAGACTGGGGGTACGTGCCCCCTTTGTCATTCACTTCCAGATTCTCCGTGCTTTCTGTAAATTCGTGTCTGAGATGGAGGGCCTGTCACACACCAGCGATCACGTCTCCTTATGAAAAGCTTCAAGGGAGCTCTTAGTTATGTGACTGTGCTAGATTTCACTTGTGAGCCAGGACTTGAAGATCCTGCAACCTTAGCATTGCCTTTTCCTTGTAACTGATACTGTTGAAGATATTTGATGATGAAGAGATTGTATTGGTTTTTGAGTCTACCTGTTGTATTCAAAGTGAACCTTTTTCCTTCAGGAGTTATTTGTGCACAAAAAATGTCAAGGAGAATGGCATTCCTTTAGAAATGCTATCTGAATGGTGACCCGATGCGTAGAGAGTGGAGTCTGGCGTGTTGGCTCCCAGGATAACACTCTGCTGTCTTCCTTCCCGGTGCAGGCGGGTGGAGCAGCTGGTGTTATACATGAAAGCAGCCCAGCTCTTAGCAGCCTCTCTGCATCTTGCCAAAGCCCAGATCAAGTCCGGGAAGCTGAGCCCATCCACGGCTGTGAAACAAGGTATGGGGGCAGCGTGACCACTGGACGCCCACGCCCTCATACCGCCCCTTTCCCCATCACACCGAGAGAGAGTTTGAGGAGGAATCCTGTGTTATTAAATATCCTTAGATGGACAAAGATGCTGACTTCGCTGGGTTTTGTTTTTGCCACTTAATTGATAGAACAGTCAGAAGCGCTTTATTCTCAACTTTTTTCTTAACTGGAAGAGAACCCATGAAAGAATCTGATTTCCGGTCTTGTCTTTTTTCCCTCAAGGATCATTTAGTGCCACTTTACTTAAATCAGCGGAAAAGGTGCATGTTACTGTGACTTCATTTTTATTTTGGGAGGAAAACTAAAATTAGTTCTCATCTCAACTTCTTTCCAGTTGTCAAAAATCTGAATGAACGATATAAATTCTGCATCACCATGTGCAAGAAACTTACAGAAAAGCTGACTCGCTTCTTCTCTGACAAACAGAGATTTATTGATGAAATCAACAGCGTGACTGCAGAGAAACTCATCTATAATTGTGCTGTAGAAATGGTAACCCTTTCTAAGGCTGAATATTATATAAGAGTATCTTTTGAGTTGAATACCTACTTGATACTTTTCTTTTTTTCTTTTTTAAAAAGATTTATTTATCTGAGAGAGAGAGCACTAGTGGGAGGGGCAGAGAGAGTCTCAAGCAGACTCTGTGCTGAACACAAAGCCCGACGCAGGACTCGATCTCATGACCCTGAGGTCACAGCCTGAGCCAAAACCAAGAGTCAGAAGCTAAACCGACTGCACCACCCAGGCACCCTTTGGCATTCTCCTTTTTTAAAAAGAGTTTCTGCCCTTAACCATTCCCAAGTCCCAAACATTGTGACTCCCTCTTACGAAAGGAGTAATTGGATGTCATTAGCACAAGTAACACACTAAGTAACATTGGCTACTGCACTTGGTGACATTTTATTGTACCTCTTAAAAATTGCTAACACTAGGACTGTCTAATCTTTTTATACTTTGCTTCTAAGAGCCTTGGCTGGATCTGCATTTTCTGCATTTTCTACTATTTAGGAAATTTTGGCATAATAAAACATGAGGAGAAATACTGTTATGTTACCCAGTCCACGTGCCCAGACTCTACTTACTGACCAAGTACAGACACAAAGTAAAACCTGCGTTTCCAACTGTGTAGCTGTAACTACTGGAAATCATTTGTTTCTGTCTCATGAGGGGAAAACTGCTCTGAAGTAGAGATGAAATTAGGGACTGTTAAAGAAGTGGTTAAGTGGGGAAGAAATTAGTGACCAATGTTATTTTTGCCACATTAACATAATAAATCTTCTCCCCTCACCCCCAAATTTGTCCGCTTTGAATTAGTACTACTGTTATACTGCCCTTGGCCTCATTCTGAAAGCCATTATCAAAAGTCATGGGAAAATAACTGTGGAATATAAACTGTTGACAAGAATAATAGACATTATTTTGCTCTAAACTGTCGCTATGAATAATATGCATTCTATCACTCTATGCTGAATTAACACTTCATATGATAAATTATTTTTAGAAGTTTGTGCCAGGAAAAATGTCCTCTCCAAAGGAGTTATGGTGTTCTTTTCTTTTCTGATAATAAGAGCAGTATTAAGTTTGCCCGAGCTGCATAGCCAGCTTACTGTTATTAGCACTACGTTTAGTTCTTTCTTCTTCCTTTTCAGAATGGACTTTCTGTACCCATTTTGTTTGTTTTCTTGTTAAGTGGCTTTAAAGTATTGTTTGGAAGAAACCCAGACGATATTGACAAATACATTAGGATACTGGGTTACTGACAGTCCTGGTATTTAATGATTTACAGAGAATGTTCAAAAACAAAATTCAACCAAGTAAAACTGAAGATCTAATTGGCTTTGTTAAATGATTTATGAATCAGGCAGCATCCTGTCTAGCAAGTAGAGGGGAGCTCTGCTGAGCTAAATAAAGCAAAGGTTTTTAAAAGGGAGAGAGGGGCCATAAAAAAGAAGAAAGGGACTTATTAGGCAGAAATGCATTGTTCAGGCAAAGTTGCCCTCCTAAGGGGGAGCGGAAGGGGTCTCTTGACCAGGAGATGCCATGTTGACTGGTTAAAAGTTACATTCCCGAGGGACTGAGACTGCAGTTAGGTTGGGTATTAAGTCTTGGTTTACTGACTTGCCCTAAGTGATGCCATTTGGGGCCTCATTTCAGAATACTGTTGGGAAAACTTCTCAAATACAGCCTGTGAATACTACTGCTGTCGCCTCTTTCCAGAAAGCCCCTACCCACCTGGCAGGCTCCCTGCTCCTTCTCCAGACTCAACCTAAACATCACTTCCTGGAGGCTTTCCCTAATCTTCTCTTCCTTCCATAGTTGGCTTAGATGCACCCAGTATATATTCCGTACCATTCCAGGGCTTCGTCCTCTAATACCGCGTATCCCTTGGAATTAGAACGCCATGTTATCCAGACCCGTACGTCCCTCTGGACGGTGTGCTCTCCTTCACCTTGTGCGCAGTGCTAACAGATGACTTTTAGCACCATTTAATTATCTTATTATAACAAAATACTCTAATGAAATGGTGAAGTTGCCCTAGCATGAAAGTGTATGTTTAAAATAAACCTTTTAGTGTAATCCGAGAAGAGCCAGTTTAGAAGTGTAAGTTTTATGAGTCCTGCGTCTGAGTCCAAAATCACGTTTGAAAGCAGTAACTCTTTCATCAAGAAGCTCCTGTTTTATTTTGCCCATCTGATGAATCTTTGAGTTTTACATAGTATAGTTTGGTAGATTATACCATTTTGTCAAAATGTGTTAATTTTAGAAAGATTGCATTAAAACCTGCATTGCCCAAATGAGAGATTCGTATTTTCTTGGAAAAGTTGAGACTCTTCTCGTTTCTGCTGACTTGGCTTCAGGTTCAGTCTGCAGCCCTGGATGAGATGTTTCAGCAGACGGAAGATATTGTTTATCGCTATCATAAGGCAGCCCTTCTTCTGGAAGGCCTAACTAAGATTCTCCAGGACCCTGCCGATATCGAAAATGTGCATAAATGTAAGTTGACTTAGAAACCAGTGTGTTTATCGATGACAACGGAGTTGTCTCCCTCAGGTGCAGCAGGAAGAGCAAGCAGTTTGGCATCTTACTGCCTGGGTTTGGATCTTGGCTTTGGGCAAATCACCTACCCTTTCTGTGGTCTGTTTCTTCTTCCAAAAGATGACATAGTTTGATGCACGTGAAGTCCTGGTGGCTTTTGATTTTTACAGTGCAGTGCTGTGCTGGCAGATGTGTGTTTGTGTGTGGAGAGAGCTTTGGGTTTGTTGTTAAATAATAATAAATGCAGCTATTTTAAGCCTCGTGAGCTTATTGGTGACCAGAGAATTTTACAAAGACTCTCTGACGACTCTACGATAGATCTGGAATAGACAGCAGAGTGGAGATTGATAGGCTGCCAGGATGATGATATCATTTATCATGTAGAAGCACGGGTGTTTGAGGAGGAGGTGGTGGACCATTTGGAGTATATGTGCTCACACCACATTTTGAAGAGCCTTGAGGGGATGGCAGTTCTAAAATAATTTGCAGTTGTGAGAAAGCTAGCTGTTAAGATCTAAGTGTCTTTTTTTTTAAGATTTTATTTATTTGACAGAGACACAGCAAGAGAGGAAACACAAGAAGGGGGAGTGGGAGAGGGAGAAGCAGGCTCCCCCCTGAGCAGGGAGCCCGATGCGGGGCTCGATCCCAGGACCCTGGGATCATGACCTTAGCCGAAGGCAGACGCCTGATGACTGAGCCACCCAGGCGCCCTAAGATCTAAGTGTCCTTTATCTTACGTGCTAAGTTTTGCCACTGCCCATCACTGAGCTGGAAATTACATCTCAACAATTATCAGGCAGAAAGAAGAAAAAATACTCAGAATGGTTAATGTTGGGCCAAAGAAAGTGCAGAGACATGCATGTAGAGAATTAGTGGTGGTTTTTTTTTTTTTTTCCATTAGTTCTTCTTGCCTTGGTTTTGACAATAGAAATGATTTTGGATATGAATTTATTTTATTTCTAGATAAAACTAGTATTGAAAGAAGATTGTCGGCACTCTGCTGTAGCACCGCGACCCTGTGAGCGGCCGCGGGCTCGCCCCTGGACCAATGCTGGGACTGAGGACAGAAGTTTGGTGTCACAGCTTTGGGTTCTGTCTCCCCGTCCCCAGGAAGCCCTAGTTTCTCACGTGGTGACTACCAAAGAACAAGCATGACTTCAAAAAGGAAAAACAATCCAAAAACTACATACGTGTAGGAAATCTGCCTTATTGGAGACGTCACCCCTTCCCTTTTCTGTGTAGAAACAGAAGCAAGAGTATTCTACTTGGCTCTCAGTTTGAACTTGGTCAATAAATGTACCTTAGAAATAGAATTATCAGTACAGTTATTCCTAAGGATAATTAAGAACGAAACAAAGTGAATGGCTCTGTACTCAGTTCACCAGAGCAGTGTGTGAAATTCCACGTGTTTACTGAGGTATAAAAGTAAAAAAAATCGACATCTCATCCGGGCAGTTGGATATCTGGGGTAGGTTCGTCTAAATCTGAGCACGCATCCTTCAACAGCTCAGGAAGATAGAGCTTGAGAACAAGCTGAAAGAAGGCTCTTGGAAGAAATTGTGAAATCTTCTATTTGATCTAATATGGACACATGTTAATCTTCCAAAATCTTTCATATTGCACTAATTTATTAATACAACTGTATTGGATTTTGCAATTTAAAACTGAGGCACAATGGACTTGTTTAAAATATTTTACTTGATTATATTACATTAACACACCCTTTCCAGAAATCACATGTAATCTCTAGTGGACTTTTAAATGGTAAAAACTTGCGTTCGTGTGAACCTTTGCATTTTTTTAACCTATCCATCTACACATACAGATTTTCTCAGTGGTATTTTTGAGCTGCTGGTTGTTTGCTTTTGGTTGTATTTTTTTATTGTGCATGCAGAATGTGCATCGATGCCTGTGATCTCTGGGTTTACTAAAGGCTAGGTTTATTTGGGCAGTATTAGAAAAAAATACCAATTCGGGATACTCTCAAAAGTTTTAATAGGGCCGAAACAAAGTTGGCGACCTAAAGGCTTGTTGGTGATGGGGAGTTTCTACATGAAGTTAGTGAGAAACGAGGTTTGTCTTCTCTTAGGAAAACGGGCAGCCCTCTCCAGCCTGGTGTGTATTGTCCGTGTTCGTCCCGGCCCTTCACCAAACAGCTAGTCACGGAGAATGCGGGCAGGTCACGTCCCTCCAGAAACGGTTCCTGCATTGTGTATGGTTTGGTTTCTTTTACTCACCTGCTTGAATACTTGAATAAACCATTCTCCAGTTTTAATTCCTTTATTTTTATCCTTTTAGCTAACATAATCCAAACTCTGACAAATTGCACAGAAGCTCTTTGGCATTAATCTAATTTTAAGTGTACTGTTAAAGACAGACAAAAACATGGTTTCTCCTTTACTTTGACGAAGTAATGTAATTTTTACCTTATTTATCTGTATGAAATTCCAGCAGTTAATTTGAACATTTATTTATACGATGTTTGTATTTTTAGGTCTTTAATACAGTGTTTCTACCTCTCATTTGTAACTGCATGCATTATTCTCGAAACTAGGTAAAACTCACGGGATCGTTGTGTAATAGCGTTTTTATTCTTGTGTGTACAAATGTATATTAAGGTAAAATAAAACTGACAAAGTGTTTCTAGGGTCAAGCTGAGTCCATATTACGTGGCTTGTCAAGCCAGCTCCTTCCTCGGTGAGTTTGGAGGCTCAGGCATTAATATCTCTGTCCTGCCCCAAGATTTCAGATGCTCAGTGACTGTCCTGCAGGCCTCGCGCACGTAGGCTATGCAATGGGGTTCCTGCCCCTCCCTGCAGGGCTTATAAGCACTGTTACTAGGAATACTCTGTTGTGTATCATTTTTTCAAGCATCCCGGGCAATTTCATTTATGTTCTCATAGTCCTCACCCACGTGATCTCAATAGGTCCTCCAAGGAGCTGGGTTCGTTCCGGCCCACCTGCCCTGTCCATTTTTTTTCTTTTTTTTAAACAACACAGGATGAAAAAGTTTCACCTCGAGTAAGTGATTGATCTTAAGTCCGGTAACTAGGGAGGTAGGTAAGCCATGGTTTGTGACTCCCAAGTTCTTTCTTCTCCCTCTTGTATAACAAAGGTCCGTCCCGTGGTGGTGCTGTATGTGAAACCGGGATGTGTGGACGGCAGAGAACAGACTGTAAACTCATGAATAATGGTTCTGATTCTACCCCCAGTATCAAGGCCAATTGTTTTCAGAGATTTTTGCCTTGACTATAGCAATAATAAATGCTTTATGTTTCCATGAGTATTTTTTTTAATTTCTTGTCATTGATTTCACAAGGTAGAAATGGGCCAGTCCGCACACTCATGGGTTGCCACCCAGATTCGAGCCATAACGTGGAAAGTTAGTGACCGCACGGACGTGAGTAAGGAGAGGAGTCGGTGAATTTGCTAACCGGCTACTCGTGCGGTCAGGATTTGGCCGAGCCGCGCCCAGGACCGGATCTCGTGGATCCTGCGCCTTCTCCCTGCCCAGAGGACTAGCGGAGTTCCGGAGAGGAGCTTACTCTCAGGGCCTGGCCGTCCTCAGTCTCCCCAGGGCGAGGAGGAAGAAGCTGAGCTGAACGTGATCTCTACGGGGCCTTGAGCCCATTTACCCCTGGGGCTGGACCCTTGAATCTTCAGCTGTGGAAGCTCTCGGGACCTGCTCATGCCCCTTCCTGGTCCCCCCAAGCCCTTGTGAGAGTGTGCCTCTGGGAGAGCGTCCAGATGGTCCTTTCCTCACCAGAATCAGAGGGAGCCCCATCAGAAGCCATCCGCCTAGCAGAGCACTGCACTCCTGCGGGGAACGGACAGTTGAGCCCCAAAAATCTCAGCTCCTGCTCAAGAGGCAAAGCCAAGCAGGTGAAGGGTCAGTGTGAATTCAGGGACCGTGAAGGCACGGAGGCTGAGAGCCTGCTGACCCCGCAGGGGCTGAGCAAGGCAAGAGCACCCGTGTCTGCGCCCTGCAGGCAGAACTCACCTGTGGGTGCCCCCCCTTGGCCCCGAGAGCTCTCAGCCCAGTGTTTCAAGTGCCCTGGAGATCTCTTCGTTGTTCAGAGCGGTCCCTTTCAACAGCCGCCAGGGTGCCTCCTGGGAGGGCATCTGAGCCGAGGAGGCTGCAGAGGTGACTCCCCACGGGGGCTCCCCAAAGTCTGCACTCGGGGGAGGCCGCCCGGCGCCCTCCTGCTCTGGGACGGTCCTGCACTTTGGGAGCTGGCTTAAGTCCCTAGGAGAGGCTGGCTGGGGGCTTGTTTGTTGAAGACTGCTCTCTCCCTCCTCGGGCGTGGCGGTCCCCCGGCTGTGTGTCCTTGGGCTCCTGCCCCAGCGCCTGTGTACCTGCCAGTGGGGGGAAGGGCACAGAGCTCAGGGAGTCACGGTGAGGCTCAAACAAGTTCCTGAGCGTGAAGTGGGAGCAGCCCTCAGGGACGCCCGCCGTTGGGGTGAGTGCTGGTTCTCCGCAGCCCCTCACGGGTTCCTTTTGGGGAGGGGTGTGTTTGTTCGGGGCAAGGCCTGGAGTTAGGGCTCCAGGAACCACACTGGCTCCGGCTGGACGACTTCTGAAAGGATGCAGCTCCTTCCCCAGCTGACCCACCGGGCAACCTGCGTTCAGACATCCTTTCTTTACCCTTGTGGCCCAATGTGGCAGTTTTAAGGAAGTGTCTATCAATCTACTATTTATTACTTTGTTTGATTCTCATACCAACCCTTGCCTCATTTTACAGATAGAAAAACAGACTTGGGGAGTAATCCCGCCCCCACCACCAAGAGAAAAGCCCCGCGGCTAGGTAGGGGCTGGGCTGCCGGGCTGGGGGCTTGGGGAGCCTGCATGCAGGGAACTCTCCTCTCTGTGCCATGTGCCTAGCGCCCCAGACCTGCTCATCGCCACGTCCTTGTAACACCTTTCTGGTGATGTCCAGGAGGAGGGGGAAAGGCAGGCTTCTGTGTCGTTTGGACGCATCTTCTGCATAGCAGGAGGCTGCAGATTTCAAGAAGCAGGGGAATCCGCAGCTCTGTGCAGCCCCTCTTGGGCCTGGAGCTGGAGCCGAGAGCAGTAGGTTTCAGAAACCACCCCCTCAAAACTTCCAGCGAGAGGGCTTCAATGGCATATTAATAAACTCGAGCATTTGGTGGACCCGCTTAGCAGTTTCCTTGTTTGTGTCCACGTGCGCCGGTGATATTGAACAGCACGGAACTGGTCCCGTCCCAGGTGAGAGGAGCCTCAATCCCAGGCTTGCCCAGGGGACCCCCCCCCCACGCACCCGCTTGCCCCAGGAACTGCTTAGTGTCCCCCTGCCTTGGCCTCACACCCTCAACGTGGCCCTGTCCAGTGTGCGGCTCACACGGCGCCAGCCCCTCAGGGCACCTGGAGGAGCGCAGGGAGTTTAAGGTGGGGGAAAGGCTAATGGAAGATAAGGACATTCCCTTGCCCCCCCCCCCTGCCCCAAGCCTGCCTGGGGGTGCAGCGGAATAAATGAGCCCCAGGCATGGAGGGCCAAGCACTCCACCGAGGTTCTGAGTCACCCGGCTCAGAAGAGGGAAGTAGATCCAGGAGGCCTTGGTGTCCTCTTCCCTGGATGCATGTTCAAGAGACTAGGTGTTCCCGAGCCTTCTGCACAGGACCAAATAGTAAGTATTTCAGGCTTTCGGGGCTATAGGGTCTCTGCTGCAGCTACCCAGCCCTGCCATCCTACGCCGAATAGCAGCCCCAGACAATACACAAATGGACACAGCTCTGTTCCAATAAACCTTTATATACAGATGTTGAACTTTTCATCTTGTGGAGTTTTCATGTGTCACATAATTTTTTTTTTTTTACCTTTTCCATCCATTTAAAAATGTAAAAACAAAACAAAACAGAAAACTCCACTTTTAACGTATAGGCCTGGGTGCGCAGATGGTAGTTTGCTGGCCACCGGCGTGTCGATTAATAGCAGAGGCAGGTACCCCAGATGCAAATGATGATGAACGAGACATGTCCATGGTGCCCACTGAAGGATGAGCTCTCACACATCCGTGGTGTCCGGTGGGCCCAGTTAACACGGATGTGAACTTGTCCCAGCGGGTCGGAAGCCGAGCCCGGGTGACACCCACCTGTGCTTTAAAACAATTCACGAAACTGTCGGTAAATATACAGAAGGCACGATTTTTGCATAATTCTTAGTTTTGGAACATTTTGGGGGAGCGATTTTGTTTTTCTTGGTTCTTCCACAGTGTTCTATACTTCTTGGTCTTGCTGGGTGGCCTTGCGCGAGTCACTTCACCTTCCCGAGCCTGCAAAGGAGTACCTGCTA